GGTGTGACGACGCCATCTCCCGCGGCCACCTGTAAAACGAGGGCAGGTGGTGAGACTCGGTGCCGATTAAGATATCCAAAGAGTGCGGGTGGGTGGGGGGGTTTGTCCATGCTTTCATTCCATTAGGCAGATGCTCATGGTGCTTTGAGTTTGTGTGTTTATAAAGTTGGGAAAGTCATGTCAATTATGAACAAAAAAAAAAAAAAATCTGTTAAAGAGAAAATATTACTGCCGAATGCTTTTTGGTGTATATTTCGTATATCCAGAGTGAGAAACAACAGAGCCCCCAGATGTGACATGCGAGAAATATTTAAGTTGGGGTCTCTACAAAGACCATTTTCATATTTGTAAATAGTTTCCAGAGGACTCCTGAGGGGCAAAGAAGGTCATAGGGCAGAACGATTATGAAAAAAAAAAAAAAATATGCAAGTTATTTTCATTGACATTGAAATCCGGATCCATAAACACTTCATTGATTTCGAAACATAGTCATGAATTAAACTATCAAAAACTGAAATAGAACTTGAAAGAACAATCAAAAAATAAATCATTGCAAAGTGAAATAGTCCATCCATCCATTATATCGTCCGCTTCATCCTCACAAGGGTTGCGAGGGGGGTGCTGGAGCCTATCACAGCCGTCTTTGGGCAGTAGGCGGGGGGGGACACCCTGAACCGGTTGCCAGCAGGGCACACAGAGACGGACAACCATCCACGCTCACACTCACACCTAGAGACAGTTTTGAGTGTTCCAAAGTGAAATAGTGATAGGATGAAATTATTTCAACAACAAAAAATGTAAAAAAAAATACCTGCTCTTCCCTCCTAAGGTTGGTTATAAAATATCTTAATTCACACTGAGGGACATGAATTGCTTTTTTTCGAAAAGGTTTTTATGATCGTGTGAATCCAAAATCCAGAATAAAAATCCAATTAATTGCCCAGCCCTTAAAGATCATAAGACTCCTTCTTTGCGGCGCACATTACATCCTTTTGAGCTTTTCGGACACTTTCGCCATATTGTACTGAGCAGCCAGGACAAAAACATGCGCAGTCACACGGTTTTGTCTGCGACGTGAAACAAAAACCAAAGAAAAAGCACAACACCTGCTCAC